GTATCAAAGCGAGGACAAATAGACTCAAGAACAGCTTCTTTCCAAAGGCTGTAACCACTCTCAACTCCCATATGCACTGACTGACTATCTATTTATTTATTTATGTATGTGCAATACAATTACTCACTATCATATGTGCAATATCATATATGTGTAATTTTATCCATGTGCAATAACCCACCTCATCCCTACCTTGTGTATTATATATCCTCTCTATATACACATGTACATAACTATTTTCCTACCTATTTTTTATACTTTATTTTTATACTTTAAATATATTTTTATACTTTTTTATACCTTGTATATCCTGCTGTTCCTTATTATGTTTATGCTGTGTAACTATTTCTTTGCTCTTTGCACTGCTTTGGAACGGCTACAATTTCGTTGTACTGCTAGCACAATGACAATAAAGGCATTCTGATTCTGATTCTGATTCTGATATATATATATATCCTATGAAGGCAAATATCCATACTAAACAGACAATATTATTTGACTATTATTGTCTAAAAGTTAGGAAAAAAACTGAAAGAAATTGATGGCTGAATTTGGGACATTTTCAGTGGAAAGTTCAGTGAAGGGCTGTAGTAGGTGTTATCTGATTGCCATTCCCAGTCAAGGCGCTATGCAGCTGAGTTAGCTATCACGCCCAGTTGTTGCCATGACAATCCTTTTTGTTTTGCTAATGATACATGGGTCACCGTACTTGCTGCATGTAATCTCTCTGCTTCTTCTGAAACCTTGACAGTAGCAACAGCTATGCTCTTTTTATCTGTTATTATGTCTTGTAATAAAAGTTGTATAGTTTTCAGTTTGTGCACCTTTTTAACAAAATCATTGTCTTGCCCCGGAGTGTGCTTAAAACGCAAAGTTACATGCAGTTTATCGACTTGTTGGATTTGGTCTGGCATTTTTAACAAATCTGTCATTTTGCTAAGCAATGTTGTTGGGACAGGACTAGTGTTCAAATCTAATGACCAGAAATAGTTTGGCATGCCTGTTCCAGGACACTCTCGGTTCTTGTGTATGTTTGATGCTATTGTTTCATTGTCCTCAGGTCTGACATACATAGTTTTGTTTTTGCTCACGTTTGATTGTGGGTTTTTGTTTTGATGCATTGCTTCTGTTTTTAGTTGTTTTAGTTCTATTCCGTTTTTTCTTGCACAAGCTTGTTTAAGCCAACATTCAGCCGCCCTCAGCCCAAGCTTCTCTTTCTTTTTTTATTATCTTTTGCCTCTTTTTTATGGCAAGCACAAGGTGTTTGCAGTCTTCTTGGTTAATTTTTCTCTCAAAACCATACTTTTTCTGCCAATTATTTAAATGTTTACAGGACTCTAAATTCTACCTAAACATGTACTCAACATCCACTTTAAACTCCGGAGTATTTGTTTTTTTGTTACATAAGTTCCCTATTTTGATTTCTTATTTTATTTAATTTTTTTAATTTTGAAATTTTTTTATTGGCAGGCCCTTCTCCTGATACTGTGATGGAGAGAATTCACCAGGTGAGTCGGACATTGGAGGAGTATGCCATCTGTCCTGATCTCTGCATTGACCTCTCCTGTCTGGGGAGACAAGAATTCGACCTGGAAAACAAGTTCAAACCTTTCAGAGGTAGCTTACAATATAACGTTAAGAACACTAAGAAAATTCTGTCTAAGGGCTAATCGCCTCTGCTACTTGTTTCTACAGTGGAGATTGTGGACTCAGTTGATGTCTATCTACAGCTACTCAGAAATATCTTTGACTTCAATGCCATCAAAAGTCTCCTCACAGGACCAGACCAGCTGAAAATACACATAGATGCCATGAATGGAGGTAATGACCAATGATTGTTCTACTTTATCACACACACACACAAACACACACACACACACACATCAGTGTTGCTACCTAGTGTGTACATCTCTTGTTCTTGTCTCCTTCCTCTTATCTGTTAGTGATGGGTCCATACGTACGCCGGATCCTGTGTGATGAATTGGGGGCCCCCGTTAACTCTGCAGTGAACTGTGTTCCTCTGGAGGACTTTGGTGGCTCCCCTCCAGAGCCCAACCTGACCTATGCCACCACTCTGGTGGAAGCCATGAAAGGAGGAGAGTTTGGCTTTGGAGCTGCATTTGATGCAGATGGGGTAAAAAACATTTAATTTCTATCGATGTAAAGTCATTTACACAGGGGTCAGGAAGAAATAAGTTTACTTTAGTTTCTTATGTTTAGTTTCTTATGTAAAGAGAAACAGAAGAAAAGCCTGGGGGCATGCAAAAACGAACAAATGTAAATTCTAGTAAAAAACAGAACCTTGTCATTGTTAAAGAACCTGATTAACTCACAGCTTTCCCGCAGGAACAACAGTAAACAAAATGTTGAAACGCTAAGGACAAACAATTCTGACAGATGTTCTAATTTTGGATGATGACACACTTGCTCTTGAGGTAGTGTTTTGGAACAAACATTCAGCACAGCCATTGAGCAAAGGTTAGGTTGATTATAAAATAAAAAGATATAGGACGTTTAGAACACAGAATTTCTTTGTTCCTTAATCTTTCAAATATTTGTATGGCAATTAAAATGTATTTCATAAAAGCCTATAATGAGACATTTTTGTTATGAATGTCATGATTTGCAAATCATCATTTAGCCACTGTGAGTCAAATGTCTTGGCAAGATTAATCTCTTCTTTCTGGGGAGACTGTTACGTGATACTGTGACATAGCATGAACTTTGGGTTGTTGAAGTTTCACCTTTGGCTAAATACTCTCCCACGTTCTCTAACATACAGCTGAGTAGATATAAAAACAAAGTACCTAACACTTTGTTTTTCTTGTGGTTGTCAATGGCCTCAGTAATGTCGTATGAAAATTGTCTTGATTTCAACAAATACTACTTATCCCTTATCTAGTCAGTGACACTGCTACAATGATCTGTGGTGGATTATTTTCAGATGCACATTTATACACAGAGTGAGTGAGTGAGTAAGTATTTATGGCAGGGAGTGGGACAGACTCAAAATAAAAGCATTACTCACATTCATCGTAAAGAAGCGGCTCCCAGCACACAGGTATGGTACCTTGGGTTGATTTTACTATAAATCGAGTAAATCACAAATAGTTTCTGCTGCAAACTAGAAGTTCAAGTAATTTTTGATCCACATTTATGCCTAATGTCTGTCACATCTGATCTCATTGTTTGGTCTTATTGTTACTAAAACTTTGGGGTTGTTGACAGGACCGCTACATGATCCTTGGAGAAAATGGCTTTTTTGTGAACCCAGCTGATTCTCTGGCCATCATGGCGGCCAACCTCTCTGCCATCCCTTACTTCAGACAACATGGCACCAAGGGCTTTGCCAGGAGTATGGCCACCAGTTCTGCCCTTGACAGGTACAAGACACACATAGAGTGTGAGATCGCTTTAACTCACAGGCTTAAAATACATTCTGAGTAAAAGGAGGGGATCCAGGCTAAAGTTATACCCGTTTACATTGTTCAGTCACTCATGCTACCCCCCACAGTCAGCTTTCAACAGAAGGCTCCTTAAGGGTAGTGTTTTGTTACATGCCATGAAGGAACTGCTAAAGATTAACTATAGTTACTTCATACTTTATGTAACAATAATGTTGTACCCACAACAACAACATAGACTCAAGACTAGTTATACATAAATAGTTCTTGATAAGACATAATTTAAGCTCCATGCTGTTAGTTTTAGTATACAAACACCTTTAACCAATGTTAACCCCTCTTCAACACAGATAAAATATAGTTATATAACCTCTTCATAACATTTATCAAGAGGATAGTTGTATCCTATCCTTGACCATTTACACCTTTCTTAGTCTAAATTGTGTACAAAGGTGTCTTCATTCACAAAAATACCTGTTCTCTTTCTGTGTGTGCGTTTGTATGCTAATAGGCTAGTGTAGAAATTATCTATTTTAAGGATTTTGTAAAATACCAGAGCATTTTAAATAAAAAGGAACAGTTTGGTTATTAGTTTTAACTATAGCTAACTTTCAGCTAATTTTTCTATATTATAGTTTAGGCTGACTACCACTAAGATATTTCCACATTAACATTCTGCTGTAGTGCTAATGTTACGGGTTGTTGTACCTAGCATTTTTCCATTTTACTAATGTTTTGTTATCATTGGGCTAACATTTATTTTTGTGCTATGTTTTCTATGTGGTTGGCTAACTTTGCTAATCTTGCTGCACTGACTAGTAATTACTGATTCTATTGCAGGACAGGGCCACAGCATTACTGTCTCTGGAGATGCAATGTTCATATCTGCTCATCTCTGGCAAAATTGTTCGGAGTGTTGGAGTACTTAGAAGTGTGTTGTGGGAGTCTGGAGTTGGCCCAAGTGTAGGCCTTTTTAAAAGAGTGAGTGGACTTGGTGTGTGTGTTTAGACTGAGGAACCCTCCCTGCTGTGTGTTCATGCATAGTCAGGCAAACTGTTATTAAAGCCTTGATGGATGTGATGTTGTGTATATATTGTATTTAGCTGTAGTAGGACTGGGACAAACCACTCGACACAGAGAAAATCAATTTCCTAGTTTTGTGTGAAGATCAGTATCAAGATGAGGAGAGTTATTTTTTGGATTTTACGGGTGTCTATGTGAACTCCCTCTGTGTACACACTTAAACAGGCCCTGCTGGGAAAAGGTCAACACAGGTTAAAGGAAGAGTGTGTGTTTGAGGGGTGGGGACAGCAAGTGGAAAGGGTAAAGGAAACATCTGCTCTTTCTTTTGCCATCCCAATGAGGGCTGAACTCCTAATTGAGTCAGAGATATCAATGGCAATGTTGTAGTACGTGTCAAACATAGGCCCAGGGGCCAAATCTGGCCCGCAGTGTAATTATATTTGGCCCGCAAGATCATATCAAATGTGTACTTGAGTTGTCTTGCCAGTACATAGCCCTATATACTGGCAGGATTTGTAGTATTAGCAGTGTATGTGCTATGGTATAGCACATACATTTTAGTTTCTTTCATGTAATAAAAAGATTTACATTAAAAAAGGACTTGAAAGGATTCAGATAAAGAGACATAATAAGAAAAAGAAATACCACTGATGTGTGTTTTATTTCAAATTTAATTTCTTGTGTTTATAACATTAAGCTTTGGTTGATCCAGATTTAATGTTTACGCAAAACTTGTTTGTTTCCATATGAAATTTTTATATACGTAGATACCATCTACAGGGGGAGTAAGGGAGCCTGCTATTTTATTTTGTCCAAATCCTAAACAGATTCTCTGAATGATCATGGTGATGGTAGAGCACCCATCCTAGTTTGATATGGATGGAAAAGATCATCGTTCATTCAGCCATTTGGTTGGCTGCTTGTGCTCTGTTTGATGACAAAATTTCCATCATTCCGATGCATAGGTCACGACCGAGAAAACCAACACTCTCATCAATCTAGTCTTTGTATCGCGCCAGATGTCTTTGTCTAGCCATATTGTCTGCAGGCTTCTCACTGTTAATTGACCCATGCCCAAATGTCAATCAGTTTCTTTTCTAGTCTCCCTGCGTTGTGATGAATAATCAGAGAAAATTGAAATTTCTGCCCTGTTCCACGTTCGTTCCATTAACTGTTAGTGTCATCGGTATTGTCACCAATTGCCTGTCTTATGGCATAAGTCTTGTCCTTGTTAAGGTAAAGACCGACCTTTTTACTCTCTTCTTTGATCTTGTTCAGAAAAGTCTGCATCAGTTCGATAGCTGTCTCTATCAAGGTGGTGTCGTCTGCATATCTTAGTTCACTAATGCTGGTATCACCTACGACGAAAGCACCTTTTTCATTTTGTGCTACTTTACGCATGATGTACTCACCATAGATGTTAGATATAGATTAGATTTAGATAAAAGATATGGCGATAGTACACAACCCTGACGCACACCTTTAGCCAGCCTGAAAAAGTCACAGAGCTCGTTTTCGTTTTTTTACAGCGGCACCTTGTTCCTCATATACATTTTTGATGAGATTGATGATGTGAAGCTCAAATCCCATTTCTTCAAGGATATGCCACAGCACGCTGTGGTCGACAGTCAAATTCTTTACTGTAATCGATGAACACCATGAATACTTTACGATTCTTTTTGATTGCCTTTTCAATCAATCATCGCATATTTGCAATTTAATCTCTAGCACTGTGGCCTTTTCGAAAACCAGCTTGTGTTGATGGTAACTCCTGGTTCAGGCGATTTTCTAAGTGTGCAGCGATTATGAAGAGGAGGACTTTACTGGCATGTGAAATAAAGGAGATTGTCCGGTTGTTTTTGCATTCACAAGTATTGCCTTTCTTCAGTAGTGTTATAATGACTGATTTGACTTCAAGATCGGGTTTATTTGTCATATGCACTTTCAACACAGGGTCTACAATGCAATGAAATGCTTGGGATGGGGGGACCGTAGACTCGCTGGGGTAACATAGAACACACAGTACTAGCAGCATGCGATACTACTACTAATAAGGTAAGGAATAGAGGGAGAAAGGGGGAATAGTAACAGTGCAGGCAGTGCAGGAGTAGTGCGACACAAGATAAGGACATCTAAGTACAACACAGGTAAGAGCATTAACACACGGGGTAAGAACTTGTAGAAACACCGGGGCAAAAACATAACACGGGATTGGAACATACGCACACACAGGGACATAGGTTATTGCACATATTGACGTAGTTATTGCACATGTTGTCGTAGTTAGAAGTTATTGCACAAAAGAAATAGAGCATAGTTATTATTGCACAGGTGTCATTCGGAGTTTAGTAACCTCACAGCTTGGGGGTAGTAGCTGTCTTTTAGTCTTTTAGTCCGTGCAGGCAGACTTCTGTAACGTCTGCCAGAGGGCAGCAGACGGAAAAGTCCATGTGCCGGGTGAGTGTGGTCCTTGGTGATGCTGTGTGCCTTACGCAGACACCTGCTGTGGTAGATGTCCTGGATGCTGGGGAGACTGCTGCCCGTGATGTCCTCAGCCGTTCGCACTACCCTCTGCAGTGCTTTTCGACTCTGAGCGGTGCAGTTCCCGTACCACACTGTGATGCTGCCAGTCAACAGGCTCTCGATGGTGCACCTGTAGAAGTTGGTGAGGGTGTTGGTGTTCATACTGAACTTCCTCAGCCTTCTCAGGAAGTAGAGTCTCTGCCGGGCTTTCTTCACCACAGAGTCCGCATGTTGTGTCCAGGACAGGTCCTCAGTGATGTGTACACCGAGGAACCTAAAGCTGCTGACCTGCTCCACTACAGTGCTGTTTATGTGGAGGGGGAGATGCTGGTCCACCCGCTGGCGCCTGAAGTCCACAATCATCTCTTTGGTCTTACTGACGTTGAGAGAGAGGTTGTTCTCCTGGCACCAGCTGGTCAGTGATGTCACCTCATCCCTGTAGGCGCTCTCATCGTTGTTGGTGATGAGGCCGATGATGGTGGTGTCGTCAGCAAACTTCAGGATGAGGTTGGAGTTGTGCTTATTGGAACAGTCGTGGGTGAACAGAGAGTAGAGGAGTGGACTGAGGACACAGCCCTGGGGAGTGCCAGTGCTGAGGACCACTGTGGAGGAGAGGTGATTTCCAATTCTCACTGCCTGGGGTCTGTTGGAGAGGAAGTCCCAAATCCAGCTGCAGATTGATTTCTCCAGGCCGAGGGCGGTGAGCTTTGAAACCAGTTTGGAGGGGATTACGGTGTTGAAAGCCGAGCTGTAATCAATGAAGAGCATCCTCACGTAAGTGTTTCCCTTCTCCAGGTGGCTGAGAGCGGTGTGGGTTGCGAGAGCAATGGCGTCGTCTGTGGACCTTTTTGCTCTGTATGCGAACTGTAGGGGGTCCAGGTTGTTCGGGAGGGACCCACAGATGTGTCTCTTAATGATCCGCTCAAAGCACTTCATGACGACCGATGTGAGTGCTATGGGCCTGTAGTCATTAGGACAGGAGGCTGTGGGGGTCTTGGGGATGGGGACGATGGTGGATGTTTTGAAAATGGTGGGCACTGTGGACTGGCTCAGGGACAGGTTGAAGATGTCGGTGAACACCTCTGCAAGTTGGTCTGCACAGACTCTCAGCACCCGGCCGGGGATGCCGTCTGGGCCTGGAGCTTTGCGGGGGTTTACCTTCTTCAGCGCCTGTCTCACCATGGCTGTGTTCAGACAGAGCACAGCATCCTCACTGTCCACAAGTGGTCTGGTGGCGGGCGTGGTGTTGTCTGCATCAAACCGGGCATAGAAGGTGTTGAGCTCGTCAGGGAAGGATGAGCTGGACAGTTCTACTGGCCTGCTCCTCCCCCCGTAGTCGGTGATGCAGCGTAGTCCATGCCACACGCGTCTGGAGTCGTGGCTCTGTTGGGCAGACTCCACTTTCTCCTTGTATTTCCGCTGGGAAGCCCTGA